ATGTAAATTAATTTATCAATTTAGATTTAAATTATAAATTTAATCTTTATAATGTATACAATAACACCTTAATTAGTGCAGCCAATGTGTACATTAAAAAATACATATTAATCGAAAATGCATTAATCGAATATAATAACTTATAGGAATTAATATAATTTGTATCTCAAATTTTTGTCTCATTTACCATTAATTTCTAATTTGCGTACTTTTTAATTAAACTATAGGTACATATTTTTTGTTTTTGGAAATTTTCCAACATAAAATCACTCGTATTTTACCTGAAAAATTTATTCATAATCTTTCCATGGTAAACGAATACATCTTGTATATTTCGTTATTTCTTAATAAATGTAAATTTTTGTGTCTAATTAAATCGTCCACTTTTTTTTTTTTTTTTTTTTGAAAAAATCAGAAATTTCCTTTTCAGACCTTCAAAATAAACATATAAAAAAATTAAAATATTCAAAAAATTTTAATAGCGATAAATATTCATATATGTATTTCTATTATCGGCTTATATTATAAAATTTATCAACTTCGAACCATTTCTTTTTAAACACTACTGTAATTACATAGATAACGTAATATTGAGAAATAAAATAGTTAACCATTTTCCATTTTTAAATTTTAGAAAATTTTTAATTAATCGGTAACTATAAAAAACCAATTTTCAAATCGAATTTTGGTATATAAAAATTTTAGCGCACTAATCGAGGGATTGGAAAACTTTGATTGAGAGCTTTGGAAAACACGAATTCCAAACACTAATTATTATTATTATTATCATCATCATTATTATTATTATTATTATTATTATTATTGTTATTATAGCTGTTGTTGTTGCTGTTGTTGTTGTTGTTGTTGTTCTTCTTCTTCTTCTTCTTCTTATTATTATTATTATTATTATTATTATTATTATTATTGAGTGAGTGAGAAAGTGGCTTGCCAACAAATATGCGAATCCCATTATAACCATCATGACATCCAGACAAATAAGCCTATACCAGGCACGTGTATCTCATGTGCGCGGTACGTTGACATGCTTTGATAAAAGCAAAACATAATATTGCATATGAGGCCCAGTTAGAAATACCTTCAGGTCGAGTAACCAAAACCGCTCATACGATCTCCGATTGGTGAGTGTTCATAAGTATCTCGCTTTAACTCCCAATTCGTCTTGTTTACCTCATTCTTTAAACTAAAAAAATTTAAAAAACAACCTCTCCCTACTCCCCTACATCAGCAAAAATGTATGTATAGTGTGTCAATCCCTAGGAGATATACCTAATCTTATTATTATGATGAAAAAAGGTTCCTTTAGAATTTCTTGTTTGGTACATTACTTGCCGAGTGCCAATCGGGCACCTGGGACAAAAAATGGGTAATGGGTTCGTTCGTCAGCAAAAGAAAAAAATATGCACTAAACCATCCGCCATATTTTGCTCCGGCACAGCTCTACACAATCTATGGTTAGTGCCAGTCAGGGCCATTTTTTGAACTTCTTTCAAAGAATATTTTCCAGATATCATGTTCATAAATTTATCAGTTTTTTTCTTAATCATTCCATATGCTCCCACGATTAAAAGGATAACGGTCGCCCTAAGACAATGGTTCTTAAACAGTGCTTCATACTTACGGTGGAAGAAGACAGCAGGTGAGGCGGAATGAGTGAAAGACAATCAACTAATTAGAAACTATTAAAAAAATTCAGATGCCAAAAATAAATATGATTTCAAAATTTAAAATATTATTATGAATTACTTGTAATTGCATGCACGAGTCCGAATATAAATAGATATAAATAATTATTGACCAATTTTATCACTGTGATATTTTTGCATTATATCAAGTATAAACAATATAGCAACTAAGGTCCGCAAATTAGAGGAGAGAGTTATCAGTGATAATGTTTCTACTTCGAATCTGCGGTTATCTCCCTTTAACCTTCTCTCAATTTTATATTTTTAAAGGCATTTTTTATCACATAAAATTTGGTGAGGTGCGAGGAAATTTTCATTCCGAAAATGCGAGCCAGGGAAAAATATTAGGGAACCACTGCTCTAAGATGCCGTATTTTTTCAATTTCTATTTGCAGGTTTTTTAACTTTCTGAATTCTTTGAAAGAAATATTGCAGCTGACCTCTCTTCCGAGCTAGCCGTAACTTCCCAGTGGGGAAAAACTGGCTGGTTACATTCAATGCATCAAAATCAAACTAGTTACATTCTATCACCACTGATTAGAGCTCGATTTACCGCCAGTCTCGATTAACGGCTTCCTGTACAGCTCCAGTAAATATCTGCCTCCCTCACGCTATCCTGTACTTTTATAAGAACCAGATCAGGCGGAAAAATTGAGTACTGTTGCCATATATATATATATATATATATATATATATATATATATATATATATATATATATATATATATATATATATATACGCTTTTAGCGATCGTCAGACAAACTGATTAATGTTTTAAAAATTTGGGTTTATATTTATATACACTTTTTACATATAAAATATTGAGCGCTTTCTAATAAACGTACCGCGTATATAATATATAAATAATTATACATATATATATATTTATTTATATTTATATACACTTTTCACACACACACACACACATATATATATATATATATATATATATATATATATATATATATTCTTTTTGGTGGTGGTGGGGGGTGTTCCCCAGTCCTCACTTTTCAGCCTTGATAGAGTTCAAAAGCGTCACTGAGTCCTTGTCGGAGAAGAATTATTTTCCACCCTCCAAACTCTTTCTCGGATGCAGCATATGACGAGCCTCCCACTGTTCTATCACTACTTCTATGGAAAGTGCTCGGACGAACTACATTCCTTAGTTGCGCCAGGTCTAATCTTCGCAGCCAATAGTAGCAAAACACGCATATTTCCTGCGTAAGTTCCACTCGAACAGGTTCTTCCTACGAACCACTGCTCTGCGAAACAGACGCCCAAGAGGGTGTTTCCATTAAACTGTTCAAGTCTAGATCTAACCGTTATCATTCCCTCCTATCCATATAAACAACCCCTTAATGTAACCCTCTGCTTTAAGTGGCTCCCAGGCCTTGTACAGGGTGAATCTTACTGTAAAAAAGAAAAAAAAAAAACAAGCTGGTAACGTTTCAACAGCACCGAGCAGCTCCTGTTATGCTGAACGGTTGTTCAGGCATTCATTGATTAATGAACATTCGATTAATGCGTTTTCAATTAGTGCGCTAATATTTTATATATGAAAATTTGATTATTACATACATAATACTCGATTAGTGCAGTAAAATATTCTTCAGTTTAACTATAGTAATTGAAAATTGATTTTTTTACCGATGAACAAATTGACCGCACAAATCGAGGAATTCCTGTGCTCTCAATGAGACGCTTTGCTTTGAACATCTGTTTGGATTCAAGTTGACCCCAGACCTCAAGAAACCATCTATACAATTCATCACTGAAGAGATTGGAAAAATGATTGCATCCTTATTGTCATGGGTCCTTACCTATAACTACAGAATGAACTCTATACTACGCCTCTCAAGAGAGAGGGACGAATCAAGCCGAGCTTCTCGGCTTGACGGTCGAACTCTCTGCCTCTGAGCAGAGAGGAACCCGGATGAGGCTCCGCCGAAGGGCAGAGTCTTGTTCGGGGAGGTTGACCAACCCGATCCCGTTTATACGGGTTCTACGGGCATTTTTTGGCCGAGCCTACGGGCTCGGGAAACCCATGTAAAACTCGGCCTTGTGCCACATGCAACCCTCGTGGTGGGGGGCAAGTAAATATCGAATCGAGTCGAGCCGATAGTAGTTCACCCCAAACCAGACTGACAGTCATACTGACACCTTCCACATCTTATATTATTATTTCGTATAATATACCTTCGTTATTTCTACTCTTGTGTTCGTGTTGTTCTTCCTTGGTCCTAACCTGGACTATAACACTTATACAACTCCAGAAAATTTAATCTAAATTTCGTTTTTTTTTATTGTTTTATTTTTGCTCAAAAACATGCCGCCATCTTGTAAATGAATAGCATAAACTTCCAAGTTATCTTGCGTATGGCACTATTACCAAATAGATCTATGAAGATCATTATTAATAGCCAGTCTTCTGAAACCCATGAGATTAATACATGCAAACTCAAGGCTCTCTCTCTCTCTCTCTCTCAGTCCTTCACTTTTTTCTGATTTATATCAATAATCTACTGTATATGTCGACGTACAAGGCGACCTTTCAACTTTAAAAAAAAGTACCGCCCTTCCTCAGGCAAAAAAGTATAGGACCGTCTTATACTCCAGGTATAAAAATGTGAACCTTAAATCCTGTGGTTTATGGTAAGTTGTTAGCATGGAAGATTTTTGACTATAGGCTAACCCCTACCTTGGTAATTATCGTCAGAAATATTTTCTACTGAAACAATTTAATTCATATTGTTATAATAAATACCCTAAAAGGTATAGGACCGTCTTATACTCCAGGTATAAAATGTGTACCTTAAATCCTGTTGTTTATAGTAAGTTGTTAGCACGGGAGATTTTTTTTACGGTAGACTAACGCCTCCCTTGTTTAATATCAATACAAATATTTTCTACTGAAACAACTTAATTCACATTACTATAATAAAATAATAAAAGTTTAGTGTAATAAAAGTACCCTTACCCTGTATATTATGGGCTATGATTGCACGACAACAATAAAACGCATATTCGTCAAGAGAGAAATACAAAACTATCGTTACAGACTGTAAACAATGCATCTGCTAGACTTGGATGTGCTGAAAGCGTGGGCAGTGGAAAGATTTTCTATGTGAAAGTGGAAAAAGACGCAAAAAACTTTAGGTACACCTGGTCTTTTGTGACTCATGTTACACTCAGATCTCAAGTAGATTTTATATATACGATCTATCGCTGATGCTGGAAAAATGGTCGATTCCTTGAACAGGTTCGAAAATTATCTGACTCGTCATACTACGTTAAGCTTACGGCCACATCACATTGAAACACCAGTTCTCGTACGATCACAGAAGTTAAGCAACGTCGAACCTAGTCAGTACCTAAATTGGGAGACCATTTGGGAATACCAGGTGCTAAGTTTGAATGTGCGGGTGGTGTAATGTATAATTACAAGAAATTGTTAATCAGAGAGCAGAATGGCAATTCCAGTTGGGTTCATCATATTAACTTGTGTTTAAATCCCCTCCCCAGCTATGGGTTAATTAGTAAGACTTGTATCACTAATAATAACATTATTAGCCACCAAAAAGAATCTTACACTCTATAAATAGTTTTTTGCTTTAAATAACTTGCAATGGGTTAATAAGTCGTAGAATCAATCATTCATACTCTGCTCCATCTTTACAAGCAATTGATGCCATATATGGGATGGCACTGCTCAATCCTCACTTTTCAGCCTTGACAGAGTTCAAAAGCGTCTAATTTTTTTTGTGTTGTCAATGAATATTCGTTGACACTTTTGTGATGTCAACGAATACTCGTTGTCACTTTTTGTAATACTTGTTGTAGTAGAGACTTTATAATCGCAGATACAAAGTATAGTAACGCCGTTGAACAATACTGGTGTCAGACACCTTCGAATAACACTCGCACTAATAGTACTCGCTCAAACAGTAATCCTGTATAGTGATCCGAATAGAGAAATAGTATAGTGAACAAAGTAAAGAGAGGATAGACGAGAATTGCGATCCGAATAGTAATAGAGGATGGACTAGGAATGGCGATCAATTAGACATCACGTGACTTCCTACTTATGCGTTTCCTCTTTGGTCACGTGATCCCCTTAATTCAATAATGGGATCGCCTGTGTTTACTCTCTGGTGATGTATGTTCAAACTCAAGTGTCAGCAGCGACACTTTATTCCTATATAACAATTTTCCACCATGCAACCCCTTTCCCACAGACAAAAGCCACTCCCTGCTCTTTTGTTATTTCAACGTCAAATATTCTGACGAGCAACATGGTTTTGTTCCACCAGTTCAGACCTTTACATCTAAGACCCGTCATGCTAATAATACGGCGTGAAATTCTCCTAACCCTCTTCGTATTCAATTGTTAAGAAGAAAGTTCAAGAAGATCAGCTGCCAATTTGAGGTTATCGAACTATTATTGAATCAGGATACGTATGTATTTTGATCACTTCCTATTAATACGCTTATTAAAGAGCGCCTCGGTGTAGATAGAGTAAGCGACGCTAGTCTGGATGACCATTACTACTGAAAAGAGGGTTCTCACTGAGTGCTCTGTACAAAATTAGACATGAAATAACCCTGCAAGAATTGATGTGTAAAAGCAACTAACCTAACTCTGCACGGAGTACTTAATTGTTAGATAGTCTGGTTGGCCATTATTAGTGAGTTCGATCTTCATCAGGTGCCACAAAAAAATTAGACGTTGAATAACCACGTAATGGTTGACATGTCGTAAAACCAATCAGCCATTAAGCCGATGTTGTTTTTAAAAATAAAACAAATAAAACTGACAACTACATCTTATTGACATGTAAAATCGCACATACCTACCTATCCCAATTGTTTTCCGTCTTCCTTTCTCTTTTATTTCTTCGACTTCCTTCCTATTTTATATGTTTCTAAGTGCAAGCTAATAACTTTTACACTATATATATATATATATATATATATATATATATATATATATATATATATATGTGTATATATATGTATGTGTGTATGTGTGTGTGTGTATATATATATATATATATATATATATATAAAAATAAGCTGAAATCTTAAGTAACTTACCCCATTCTACATGGACTGACAAACCAACGGGCCATTCATCACCTGTTTCTAAAGAACAATTAAATCCGAAAGCGTTCCAATCCGAGGTCAGGTTTGCTGACCGAAGGTTTCCTTGTTTTCTCATCTTTAAATTCTTATATCTTCCCACTCTTTTTTTTTAACACTGTGTAATTCTATCATCGACAGAAATCTTTATTCAATCTCATCTATTATTTTTATTTTATTTTACATTTGTACGCTCCAGTAAATAATCAGACGTTCTCACTTTCATTTATAATTCTTGCAAATTTGAAATATTTATAAAATAAGAGTTACTGTTTTCTAATTAAAATAAAATATATAACGATAAGAGTATTTTGGAGAGTTAACGTTACTCCTTTATAATAAGTATATAAGCGCTACTACGGTGCATGAGGAGCAAACTTGTCTAGTGAAACGTTTCGGTTCCTACAAGTACTCTATTGTTGAGGCCTTGTGCCAAACTGAGCTACGCTTAGTAAATAATTATAAATACATATGCGTGGGAATAACTAAGAAAGAAAGAAAGAAATACATACATACATACATACATACATACATACATATATACTTGGTGACCGAACCCATTTGAAAGCTTTGCGTGTTATAAGACGGAGGTAAATTCAAAACTTTACTCAACAGAAATATTTCACGGATCACATTAAATTTTTTTCTTCTTTTTCATCAGGTACGAAATTGCACGTAGAATGTAAGGCGCGTCACTCACGCGGAAGATGGTGTATTTACGTTTGGCCTAAGACCTCAATTCTGCGAATGGGAGGGATATCTTTTGTCTGCATTTTTTTTTTTTTTATTTATTTATTTATTTATTTATTTATTTATTTCACGAACAGGAAACAAGTACTAGATAAGAGCACCCTACCGGTAATCATCAAGATTAAAAGAACAGAATGAAAAAAAAGCAAGTAAAGAAAGAGACTAAAAAGACTTTTATCAGAGTATTTGTTTCTCTTTTTTTTTATCTACTTTTGATAGTCCGGTGATTAATCTTCAGGTAAAATAAGATTAAATCATGTGTTTGTTTTTGTTATTGGCGGAAAGAACTTGCAGACACCATATTTTCTTTGTACTTAACAGTTAGAGTCGCAGATTTGTGATTGATAAATATGACATTTTATCTCAATTCCGGTTTTCAAAAAGAAAAACCAAATGACTCACAATGGAGATTTCTGAAATATCAGTAATTTCCATATTACTACATAAATTATTAAAGTTTTACTTCAAAAACCTTATACACTTATGGCCAGTTTAAATATTAGATCATTATTTACTAACGTACGTGTTAAATCTTCTAAAGAAATTTCTACAGGGTGTCCAGTAAAAAAAAGTGTCAAATTTTGTGAATTTAATTTTTTTGTTTTAATTCCAGTTTAAAATATCCCCAAAACTTTGTCAATTGAAGAAATCAATTTTATGACTTCAAAACGCCGAGGTTCCATATGGTGAATTTAGGAATGTAAAATTATTTCTACAAAATTATCATTGCTGTTTTCTAAGCTGCACCAGAAGTACCTTTAGTTTTAGGCTGGAGTTCCAATTCGCCTATGAGCTAGCTTAAAAATCCGCTTGGTGTGCGGCTTTTAAGATAGTTTTTTAATAAATTAAGAGTTGGTAAAAGTCAATTAAAATACAACTTACTTTATTACTATAACTTAAACGTGACTATCAAGCGAGTGAACCATGTATATCTTAAAGAAGACAATTTGTAGCAGACTTTAAAATTTCTCTAGACAGGCGTGTACCATTTCATGCGTAAAAAAAGCTGAAAATGGGTTACTGCCACTGATAGGGTTATTGGCGCATGCGTATCTGGCGAAAAGTTTTAACGTCTGTTACACCTTCATCAGGTTTCATAGAATGGTGCTACAGAATCACAAACAAAGGATTTTACCAAATAACAAAAAAAGATATTACTTGAAAATTTCAAACAGCAGTAACAATCAAAATGGTAACACATGTAGCTAAAAGGAAAAATAAAGATATAATGAAGAATGTTAGCTTTCCACATTACATTGGCATGGTTAGTTTAGGAAGAAAACACCCATCAATACCAGAAAAGCGAAATCAATGAACTTGAGAAACCATTTTTTCTGAAATACTGTTTTATGAGAAACATTTAATAAATTTCAAGCAAGAGTCACGCTGACTGTTCGGTCAATAAATGCTGATTTTTTTTTTTCTGGATGGAAACGGTTAATCTCTCCATTATCAATACAGTTACTAAAAGAAATATTAATTTTTTATTGCTATAACTTAAATCGGTTAAAATAATACCTATTTTATCAAAAATCCAAAAAAGTAACCGTAATGTTATTAGTCTTAACCTGGCATCTCAGCTTCAGTGACTTCCCAACAGTCGTTATGTAGGTTCCCTGTGCCTTTTCTTTAAATATTGTACTTTTATGGTAATTGTTCTGATGAACTTTCCACTGTGGTATCTAGACCTTATGAATGTAAGCGCCGTCTTACATTGGTGACAATATCTCATCAATTTACAGTTGAGTTGGCTGGATAAAACCGTGTCTATGCCGTCTTCTCTCGCACTTTTCGGACTTTTGTGGAATTCTCTTTTGACTCACTGCTTTTCAGTTAACTTTAATATTCAAGAATCTAAATGCAATGTCAATCTTTATCTACTGTCTTTTTTATTCTTCTTATTTTATTGTTCTCGCTCTTTAGTAATGTTTCTCATTTTTTATTGTTCTTTCACACTCACTAACCTCTGGTGTCCTAGTGGCTTTACTGCATTATTATATTTCAGTATTATTTTTTAAAAAAATACTTTTTTTTACTATAAACTAAATATTACTTTTATTTTATCCCTGTGGATTAAACGACAATTATCAATATTTATTAAAAATTTACTTTTTTTTTACTAAAATAAATTATAATTTTTATTTCTATGAATTAATTAAATTAAAATATTAATGATTGTATTAAAAAATTACTTATTCTATTAAAAAATATTACTTAATTTATTACTAAATTAGATATTACTTTATTAAAAGTTACTTATTTTACTATTAAAATAAAAAAATACTTTTATTTTATTAATATAAATTAAATAGATGAAGATATTATTTATTTAACAAAAATATTGGTTTTGGTATTACTAAATTATTTCTTTGATTTATTGCTATAAAGTAAAACACTATTTATTAAAAATATTACTTAGTGAAATAGAACTTATTTTTATTACTATAATTTTAAATATTTTACTTATTTTCTCTAACGTTTTCTTAGCCAAAAATTAAAATTACAATTAAAAGGTACGTTAAGTTACGGTAGAAATATGGAAATATTTCTATCGTAATTTAATGTACCTTTTGATTATTCTGTCATTACTTTTTTATATGAACAGATTTTTCCACATTCACTATGTTATATCTGTAAAGAACTTTGTAACGTAGGTATTTGATAAATTTGAAACTTATGCAGTATATATTTAAAGTTTCAGCATACATTCACAAAATTCGATTGTTCACTCTCACCGAATAAATATCTATCATATGCTGTTTTCATAAGTGGTAAGCTGAAAAGTTTTCAGCACGACGACCAAGAAAAATCTTGAGGTATTTTGGTAGATCGGACCAAAAACCTTTCAGGAGCCACTCACTATAAGAATCCGTAATATTATTTTTTTTTAAAATAATACATTGGCTTGAAATTTACAAAGTCCGTAATAGAAATCATTAGTTCTGGCTCATAGGACGTGAACATAGATGTAGAATTGAAGTATCATTTGTAATTGTTGGTCTTATATAATGGGAAGGAGTATATTCTTGTAAATGGTTCAAGTCTTTAAACAAGAGGTGCCGCCCTCACGTGACCCTCGACATATTTTCTCCTTTAAAATGCTTTTTAAAAATAGGAAAATTAAAATGCTTTTTTAAAAATAGGAAAATTAATGTTAACATTCATTTGACTTGGAGTTATTGTACTTGTTGACAGAATAAAGAGTTGCCGCCCCTTTATAAATTATGCTACGGAACAATGTAAAACAAAGGCAGCCATGCTGAATTAAGTGTAAATTGCAGAAAATAAATGGAACGAGCTTAAAGATACGGAAAAACATTGAATCCAACACAACTAATTTTCTATTGTCTTGTAGGTGTTGACTTTCTCAGGAACAGATTATGGAACTATTGGTTCTTGTGACTAACACTTATAAGATAGTGGCAACGATTATTAATTATTCCGGGTGTTGTCTGGAATATAGGAACGAACAACACAATGATTAAGCAAAGCATTTAAACAAGTGAATTTAAAATGAACAAGAAGATAACAATTTGTTCATCAATAAATAACAATTTATTTGGGTATTTATACATCATATGGTGAATATAAGTAGACTCTTGAAAAGAAGAGTAAGTTCACATATACACATATAAAAGAGAAAAGATAACATGCACACATTTAGGTATGTTTAATAAAAACCCTTTAAAAGGGGAAAGTCATGTACACACATTTAGGTATGTTTAGATAAACCCCTGAAAATGCAAAAGTACAAAGACACACATTGAGATGTGTTTAATAAAGCCCATTGAAAAGGGGAAAGTTCATATTTTGGATTCATTATTGAATCTACATCAGAGAATCGTGAAATGTTTCAGTGGATTAGTAAATCGGTTGAGTCGACAACACGTAATCCATTCGCCAACTGCCTTGTTTGCTTTATGTTCAGTACTTATAACTCCCCTTAAGCAGGTGTTGTCTCACAAAAAAGTCCCTCGAAAATACGAGGGAAACGCTGTCAGTGGTCGATTTATAATTTGTATTCTATTTTGAATGTTTTCAACGCTACCGGAAGTGCCACTCAGAGCCTATGCGTAAATACCTAATGTTGAAATACCTCATAACTGTTGAAATGGAAATTTCCGATCGACCCAACAGCATTTGAAACCTTGAATATATCGAAGGTAATTAATTTTAATTTTAAATTTTTCATCATATTTACGAGGAGAATAGCAGTTAATGAAGTGTGTTCTGTGGTACGGAAAAAAATGAGAAATAATGTACCATTTTTGTTGTAGTGAATGGAAAACAAACAGGTTTGATTTGCATGCAAAGAAAATTTGAATGTAAAATTCGAAGGCATTATACAGCAATTCATACATTGAAATGTGGTTAATATAGTAGAAAGTGACGTGCAAACAAATTTACCAAGTTAGAGAAGTCATTTAAAAACGAGCAATTTTCCTCAAATCTGTGATATTGTGCTTACTGCAATTTATAGGTTTGACAATGAAACAGCGATGTCATCGAAGACATTTTCAGAAAGGAATTGCTTAAAGAAGTGTACATCGATGGCGGCAGGAAATATTAGACGCCAAAAAAACAAAAAAAAACATTAGAAAATCTCAGCAAATGTAACTTCTACAAAAAAAATCGACTTACAAAAGAATTTTAGCTGCAAATCCAAAGACAAATTTAAGTTATCTGCATTATTTACTGCTGCAAATGATGACAGCATGGATGTAAGCGATGTGGTAAAACTTGCTGTTTATATATGCGATGTAGATGAAAATATACATTAGCATTATCTCAGTTAACTAGTGTGCTCGTAAAAAAAAAAAAACAGGGGAATATTTGTAGATTGCGCATATATAAATCTACCATCCATCCGTGTATTGAATACTGTTGCCATATCTGGACTGGTGCTCCTACTGGGCATCTCAAGATTGACTATATCCAGAGAGAGGTCTGTAATACAATCGATCCTGACCAGGCATCCCGTCTCTAGTTACTTTCCCACTAACGTGACGTGACTTCCATCTACCTGTTCTACAAATATTTTCATGGTAACTGCTCGGACGAGTTTTTTTTTTTCTGGTGCCACGACTACATGAATTTAAGCGTGTTACTAGATTGGCAAGTAGGTCTCATCGCCTTAGTGTTGAACTAGCTAGATGCAACCGTCATTTTTACTCTAACAGTTTCTTTTCTCGCACTTCCCACCCGTGGATCACTCTTCTGATTTCTTGCTTCCCTGATAACTACTATCCTCAAAAAAATAAAGGCAACGTCAAACGCCATCTTTTGTCTTTTTGAAGCCTGCTCCCCATTTCCAATCTTCTCATTGATTTTCACACTCTGTAACCCCTTGCATTCTAGTGGCCCAGTCGCCTTGCTTGGAGGTGAAACGATTAAAAAAAAAAAAAAAAAAGAAAATATTTTGGTTAATTAGAGCGTCCTGCAACGACAAAATTTGTCAAAATCGAAAAATATTAATATTTTATTATCACTTTAAATGGGCGCCCTCTTCATAATGTAAATACATTCTCAAATCAATCTCTTACGGCCATATTACGTTGAAATTCCGGATCAGGTACGAGTCACAGAAGTTAAGTAACGTTGAGCCTGGTCAGTACCTAGATGAGTGACCACTTTAGAATACTAGGTGCTGTCAGCATGGATGTTTGAGTGGTGTAATAGATAATGGCTCGGAATTGTTAATCAGAGAGCCGAGTTCCAATTGAGTTCGTTATATTTACCTACGCGCAAATACCCTTGAGAAAGTTATGAATCCACCTGTTCTTCCCTCTGACTCTTGTGACGTTAAAGACTGGCATCGAGAGGCCCAACTGGAAACTGCCGCAGAGCCGTCACCCCAGCCACAAAATGTCGATAAACTAGTTCTAATAAGACACTCAACCTTGGTCCATGAAACATTTTATTTATTTACTCTATTTCTTTTCCCCTACTTGTGGACAGGCGAGAGTGTTTGCTTTGTATATCTTATTGTTAGGTTCTTACTTTTGCTTATAAAACATCAGACACTTCCAATTGAATCACTAACAGTCCATTTTACTACGTGAGTGTTTCAAACACAGCCTAAAGCTATTGTGTCACAAAAACACACCAGGGTAATAACGCAGGCTTAAAAACTGCTAAACTCAATTGCGATTCATAGTGACATGAACAAAGAAAATTCCTGCATTAAGTTAAAGAGTTCCAAGAAAGATTTACCGGATTTTAAAAAATTCAGAATGGATTTTCTATTTTTCGGGATCCATTTTTTCTGTTAGTGTTATATTCTTTATTGTTAATATGGTACCAAGTCATTTCCAGTTAAAATTCAATCGAGCGTAATTGTTGGAGGAATAAGTTTTCAAGTGTTGAGGTTGGCACATTTTATTTATTCTTCGAGGATTAAATGTCTGACCTCAAATACTCTGTCAAGTCTCATTTTTTTTGTTCATGAAAAACTTCAAGAAGTCTCGATTTTAGTCTCAGATAAACACATATGCATCTCAATTCAATACTGAAAGTGGCTTGGGTTGGTGGATTTTACAACATACCAACTTAAGTTGAGTTATTCAATGTCGTAATTTACGAGGGGGTAGCTTCAAGTTCATAGGCGACTATAAAGAAGCGATGCCAGATCAGTGATTTTTTGCATGCATTAATTTCATCTTTTCAATGTAGCTATTAATAACTACATTGTTTTATTTCAGGTAAACTGTCATCTGGCAGTTTAAAGAAAACTTCAAAAGTAAAAATTAGCGATAAATGGACAGAATTTGGCACCAGGGTTTTATCAAGTACTTCCAGCAAAAGGGTTTACCTCCAAGACATTCTTCCTAGAGGATGTAGCTTTAACAACAGTGCAAAAATGTGCAGCTATATTTCGGAGGGGAAACGAGAATCATAAAATGACCCAATGTCTAGACGCCCTGCAACTGCCACCACCAAGGAAAAAACTCGATCGTGTTCACTACATGGTGATGGATGACAGGTAATTGGCTACGGATCAAATAGCCAGTGTTATTAGCATATCCCGCGAGAGATTTGAGAATATTCTGCACAAGGAACTTGACATGACTATGGTTTCTGCTCGGTGGGTTTCCACGTCTTCTGATCAAAAGCGCACAGGCTGATAATATCACAGGAAAGTCTGACATTGTTTGAGGAACATCCATCTGGTTTCCTTGAACGTTTCCTAACCCAAGATGAGTGTTAGATTCAATACTGTGAGCCAGAGACAAAGAGACAACTCATGCAGTGGAAACACCCCTTCTCATCTGCTCCAAATAACGTCAAGGCTGTTTCATCTGCTGGGATAGTGATGGCCTCAGATTTTGGGATGCAAAAAGGACTGTCAAACAGTTTCTATGACCGCATCACCCCTTATATCTGGCTACCCCAGGCTGCACCCCCCTTGATTATAATATGTGGGGGGCAGTTGAGCGAGAGACCAACAAAATTCCTTGTAACACCAAAGATGAACTGAAGGAAACGATTATGGCAGCATTCACTAACTGAAACAAGGAGAACGTTGCAGGAGATTCTGAAGTAGTCTGGAGGCTGTGGTTGAAGCCAATGGCGATTTTATTGAACACATTTTTACTCTTTAATATTTCAAGATATTTTTTGGGCAATTTTGGTAAATATATCTGTTGAAATGAAATGTCAGTGTTATTTTAATTTTTGCTTTATGTAGATGACAATTTATCCATCGCACCCTGTAGACATGCTTGGTTAAAACCAACGAAATTTCTACGTTAGGGATTTTTATTTTTGAATATATTTTTCTATATAAATCATTATTTTGGTTTCCGGTGAAAATTTGAATATGAATTGTCTGATGTCTGAGTAATTTTGGCTTCCATAAACTTATCAAAGTCAGATGTCCACGATGTTCAGTCCCCTATTCATAATGGCAGTAGCGTTGGACGTCATGTAATATTTGAACTTTGTGGTTTGTGGATTTTACGACATATCGACTCTTGCAGGGTTATTTCATATTTTGTGATTATTTTAATATACTTGAGCGTATAGGTAAACATCGGTCTTCTGTATACATGGATCTATAACCATCCATCCAGAAGGTAGCCATTTTCCTTTCGGCTGGAGGCGGTGGAGTCTTACTCTTCTACAGGGAATGAAATCGGCGTATCGATCTCGCCGATATGATAAACAGTATGGTAATAAGTCATTCTTTAATGAATTTCTCTGTACCAAGAGGTGCTAAGTATGAGATATCTGTAGCACGAATTGTAAGAATGTTTAATAAAAGTAAATGAACACTTTATTTTGTTTGCTTTTTTTAAGGTCTTTACACAGGCACAAGAGTAGACTTATTACATTAACTAATATGCAATCAGGTGCGCGCAGTGTAGCGGTTATAAACATAGACAGTGTAATCGGCGAACCGAGTTCAAATTCCCGTCTCATCTGTTGCGATCACTTTCACCATCTATCCCTTCCCTCAAAAGCTATATACTAAATAACAGTGGGGGACTAGGCTCCCTAGCTTTGAGTTGCAGCAAGTCTAGAGGAAGAATTGCATTGGAAGCAAAACCGTGGAGAAGACATCAGAAGATGAATCCGCCATCTTTTCCAACAAGTCATAGAAATTTACAAATAATAAAGAAACGGAACCTGTGGAGTGCTATGATCGCCTACGTCCTGCATGAACATGGCACTGAAAAATGTGATCCAAACTTGCTTATTGTTATGCTACATTGGCCGCATATTGTCGATTTAAATTATATTTGGGCCGCCATATTAAATGAGTTTGATATTCCAATTTAAACCAACTTTGAGCCCAAGATTCAGTTCTGATTCGGAATAGAACATGCAGGCTCTGTTCATACTGTACTTGAATACCTGTAAAATCTGTGACTTCTTAAAAGATATTTAGATATATACATTGTGAATGTCTAGGGAAAAACGAAAGAAAAGACGGTGAGAGAGAAAAGAGAGGAGACAGTAATATGTATCGTAAAAAGATTCCCCTATACAGATTTATCCGTCCAACCTTTCTCAAGAAACGCGTGATCAGTGAACAAATGGAATATGGTGGGGAAAAATGAATTACGGTCATGGTGGGTGGTTTCGGGTGCCGTTTTCCTCCGATTTCCCTAATTGTTCTGGTAAAAAATAAATCATGCCACTGGTCAGGTGATGAACTCAGGAAGTGGGGAAATGGAAGGAAGGAAGGAAGGAAGGAAGGAAGGAAGGAAGGAAGGAAGGAAGGAAGGAAAAGCTATAAGAAAAGGAAAGGAACAAAAAAATCCTAAGAAAGATTTGAGAAATCAAAAGAAAGGTTGAAAAATTCGAGGAAAGAAAAAGAAAGCAGATCTTAAGATATACAAAGAAAATGAATGAATGAAAAACGAGAAAGAAAAACGTTTCAAATATATAAGAATTAAGATAAGAAGAAAGATTCGAAGAAGTAAAAAATGTTGGAGAAAGAAAGCAGATTCTAAGATATAAAAGTATAAATGAATGAATGAAAAATAATCCCGGGAAAGAAAAACGTTTCAAATATATAAGAATTAAAATAAGAAGAAACAAAGCCACGAAGAATTTTTTTTTTAATGTTGGAGAAAGAAAGAAACTTTGTCAATAATGTGACAGAAGAATGGCTGAAATTTGAAGAAGGAAAAAAGGAAGAAAAAACAAGATATAATAGAAAGAAGAAAATTAATTATAAATTTCAGTTTTAATTTGATGTTGATCTAACTGAAAAAATGTGTTGGTGAGAGGGACTTAACGGTGAATTGCACGGGAAAATAGAAACGGCGAGGAGAGTTCAAATTCCGGTTCAGGCAGTTTATGTTCACTTCACATTCAAGTCCTGTGTATGACTATAAAATACATCCGGCATCAAAGCTTCTGATCGGCAGACTAGAGTTTTTGAGATGCGCTGAAAGACCTCTTGATTGCTGTTGTTCCCAGATCCACCCTGACTCGGAGTGGCAGCACCTGTTAGGATCCCAACTATGAGCAAATAGTGAACCCCACAAACAAAAAACCATGAAAGTATAAAAATACATTTTAATAGTAAAAAATATCAGCAATACATTATTATATTAAAAAATATATATATATATATAGCAAATTGACCAATAATACATTGTAGTTGAAGGCATAAAATTGCAATCAAAATAGATTTAGTTGAAACCATAAAATTGTGTTCAAATTATTTAGATTTTGGCATTAACTAACCCATAGAAATGTTATATTGATATACCGCTAAACAAAATCAACCAGTTCATTTCACAGTAATGTTCTTGAGAAAGATATATTTTCTTCTTCAGCTATAGATAAAATAACACGTGGACAGACTTGGTTGTAAGTCAGTTTAAGGCAAGTACTTACCTGAATCCTAAACTGTGATGAAATCAACTTGAAGCCACTCCAATATCTTTCCCGAGAACAATCTTGGCAATCTACAGTTTAAAGTTAGGTAAAAAGGATGTTGTGGATATCCATGATTGATTTTGTCCTAAAAATAATTCTGCTAACAACTGCTAATAACTTAAATAAAATCGATAAAGAAGAATTCCGGTAGCTAAAAAAAACACGCATTCGATTATTAAATAGACTATCAATCATTTTATGCTTACAGATAACTAGACAAGTCTGTGACCGTTGGATTAACTCTCAAGAGAAGTTTATA